GATGTGTCTTCTGATTAGAATATAGGACTGAGAGTCCTGAGATCTGTTCTTAGTTTTGCTGCTCTGTAACTTTGGGGGAAAACCAAAACCTATCTGAAAAGGATAGAGTAATTTTGGAAAAATGTGAAGATTTAATTCTTTTAAGCCTAGAAGGCATCCTGATTGTTTTTTGTGTTACTGAGCAGTAGTAACAGTTCCAACATGAAAGTGAAATTAATTTCAAAGTAGGTATCTCAATGAAAACATTGCAAAGTGAGCTGATTTGTCAAAATGTCACATGCTCTATAGCTTTTTCTGATGAATTTGATAGATAATAAATAATTTTAATTATGGAGATTATTCCACATCTTGTTTTTTTTTTCTTTTCCTTTTTTTTAACATTTGTGCTTTCAAGTAAGTAAATTTCAGCTGCAGTCAGTACTTCTTGTCTTGTTCTTGCTGAGGAAATGCTTTTTGGCATTTGGCCTAGTTGGGCTGAATGGCAACCTCACATGCAGTTTCAGAAGCACTGTAAAGACGAGATTAATGAGAGGACTGGCAGTGTCAGGTTTTGGAAGGAGTCAGCAAAGTGCCAAAGAGAGGAAGTTTTGGTGTCATCAGGAGCTAAGGGAAGGGAGAAACTGAAGTACACTGCAGACTTCAGAATAAAGGCTGTGTATTTTTGGAGCTAAAAATTTCTTTCATCTACCACTGCTAGTTCTTTCAGGTGTTAGTTTTGTTTTGTTTGTTTTACCAAGTGGAAACAAGCTTATGAGAAGCAATAAGTAAACTTTGCCAGTTTTATGTTTTAATAGCTTCCTTCTGTTTCAAATTGTATCTGCTCTACAAAACTAAACTTATTGCCAAGGTGCTGGAAGTAAAGCAGCTGTGTGGGTGATTTGGAGGTTGCATTCGATTCGATCTTTCTGAAGAACATTGTATGGTATGAACATAGCCTAGCATTACAAAGATAGATTTTTATAACACCAAATGGATTTTTCTGCATTAAATGGAAGTGAATCTGTTAATTAGTTCGAATCAAGAGCAGCCACTTTAGTATTAGAGTTCAGACTTGCTTTTTATTGTGAGGGATTTTTATGGTCTAGCACAGCCTCTTCAAGCTTTTAGTATAGCTGACACTGAATATGTGTGTGTAAAGTGTATATGGAAAAACAATTAATTGTAATTATTGTGACTATAATGATAATGACAATTAACTGGTTTTATGTAGAAATTTAGATAGCCAGTGGTCCTTCTCAGTCTGTTCCTTTGATAACAGCATTGCTAAAAGACTGGGGAAGGTGACTGAGTTAATTTATACGTCTGTACATGCTGAAGCTCGAGACAGTACAAATTGGCCTGCATCAGTGAAAGTCCTGTTTAATTCTTGGAATCCAACACATATTTGGGAGACAGTTGTGGAATAGTGGTAGTTTTACGCATCCTCATTCTTGTTTATTTCTGTTGCTTGAGTAAGTATTTGGAAGTACTTATGCTGCCTAACTCAAGGCATCTGACTGTGCTGCTGAAGTACAAAGGCCAGTTTCTATGTGTTCTTTATAAATGAGTGAGAATTGTCAATATTTCTGCTGTGAAGCAGCTCAGGGCAGTTTGTTTTCATGGATTGCAGCCTCCTCCTTTATACATTATGAACAGCTTGCATAAAGTGGACAAAAAGCAAGGCACTTCCCCCTTTCCCTTTTCCATTCTTTTAAATGGGATCGAGTGAATGGGCCTCCAGCTTTTCACTTTAGTCTTGATAGTAGAGTTTATTCATGTACCTCTTGTGATACAGACTTTTAAAATAATTAAATACATCAGTTTATCAAAGATGCATGGATCACTTTTATGGATAACAGTATCAAAAGTATTCAGTAATAATATATTAAAATAGTGCATAGTTCTTAATATGCAGAAGCATAATGTCTTTGAAAATTTTATTTGAAGAAACTTGTGCAACATAGGGTGGTCAGCAAATTAGTAATGACTCTCACTGAACAGATGGAACAAGACAAAAGCAGTATGCGCAAGATATGTTGCTCTCACTCCATTATTTGGATGACCGCTTCATTCAGCCTCGTCTTGAGAACTTAATCTCTAGAAGTCGCTGGAAAGATCGATACAAGGTATGTAGCTTCCACTTTACACAGTGAAGTGGGTTCCAAATCATATTATTACTGACAGATTTTTTTCTTATACTGTAATTCTCAGTAAAGGTACAATAATCGCTATAATTCTATATACTTTTTAAATAGAAACTCATGGTTATTTATGTAACTTGTTTTGATATTTATAAATATCAAAAGTATTATATGTGTTTACAATCAGATAAACATTGAGGTAACAGAACAGAATCTGTTCTCAGTTACCTGAATGCTTCTCCTGCTAACTTCAGCAGATGACTTTCTGAGGATTTTTTGTGACTTGCTAAACGTTATAACAAAATTTCTTGCTCCTCCCACAAAAAGACAAACCAATATGTTCATAATGAACCTTCTATTACTTTAAAAAAAAAAAGTCAATATGCAGTAACATAGTCATTGCATGTGAATTACTAGAACAGTATTAGTGCCATAGGTGTGGTGATCTAATAATCACTGTAATAATGGAGTATGGACGGTGGAGAGATACAGTGTATTTATTTGAATTAGACTGACTGATACAGTTGCACCCCCTCCGAAAAAAAAAACTCACCCCCTCCGAAAAAAAAAAAGAGATGAGAGAAAAATAAGTGTCAGGATGCAGGAGCCATTCTTTAGGCCTGAAGCCAAAAGAAGGAGTTAATGGATTAGAACTGAGTGAAGTGTTGGAAAATGATTGAGAAGGTATATGATCATAGCTGAATGGTGAAAGACTTCAGATTTGAATCTCTTTGGTTTCTCTTGTTCTAATTTACTGTGAGTACAGAGTACTCACCAGCCTATTTGAAGTATCTTTCCATTTACAGAGATTCTTTAATGTTATTTGAAATCTCTTTTTCAGGAGCGTGTGGATTGTTACCCAGATGTTCGCATCATCTTGAAAAATCCAAAAAATATGTCTTGTCAGGCCTGTGAATTGAATCGCTATTGCAAGTTTAATGTGCTGCTCTCTGGAAAGCTTTATAATAGTAGAACTTTGGAAGCAGATGACTTCATGTCAGATGACAAGCAGGTAACTTCAAACAAACACCCTATATAATTATTTTTAAGCTTTGTCTAGTGTTACAGAAAATCATACAAAGAATAGAAATCCTATCAAAATACCTAATGTCTATAATGCTACAGGCAAGAGTTAAGTTACTGTATTTCCATGTCTAAACCCTATTAAATTTTAAAATATGAGGACCATTTTGCAGTTCGGAGGAGTATAATCTTGGATTTAGCCAGGAATTATGAAGGAAGCTCCTATGAAACTTAAAAGGATGAATAGAGGCATTCCCCCCCCTGCTCCCCACCCCTCCATCCTTTCTTATATCTTGGGAAAGAGGTAATGAAAAGTATCCTCAAATAAACCTAACTTTTATCAAGAAAATAAATCTGTTGTTTTTCTATGACCTTTGTTTTTGCCTGCATCACAATGATCCGTGATCCCCACTTTTGCCACTTAATATTAGTATCTGATGCAGCATATGTACTTGCACTGCACTGAATGCTAGTAAGTATACCCAACCATGAGCTGTACTTCATAATAAAAAAGATAAAGGGCTCTAAGACATATGATAGGGTTTAATGATAACTCTTACCTTCAAGTCAAAAATGACATTTGCCTCAATTTTTCCTCTGCTTCAAATCTTTACAGTCTTGAGTTTCATCCAGTGCAAGAAGGAAACTCTAGGTACATGGCATCCTACACATCCTACTCAGCATGCTTATCTTTTGTGGTGCATGGGGAGGCAGTTTGTGTGTCAAAGAGGCTGGCAGCACACATGTAGATCCACATACTAACCAAAGTTCTAATATGAGCACTCAATCAGTTATTTCTAAACCAGTTTTTTGTTTTGTCAGGTAACATTTAAGAGAAGATTGGAAATCCTAAAGCGGATGCGTATCTTAAAGAAAGGAAAACCAGTGGTAAATTACACAACTGACTGATGGTCTGCACATGCCTTTTTTGGTTTTCGCCAAGTACCTGAGAAATACTATGATTTTTTTTTTTTTAATCTCAAATAGATCCTATCTCCGTATGCCAGGAGTCTGAGGCTTTAAATCAAGAATGACATTTCCCTCAGATTTACATATATTCTAAACATCAGAATGCCTTTTCACCGAAATTAGATCACTTGAAAGCCCTTTACCTTTATGTGTGCCTATTATGCTCCTAAGACTTTCC